GATACAACGTTTTGGAGGGAAAGAGTTGGTGTGACTGCATAAGCGAGAATTCCTTCAAAATAGGCCAATGAGTAGTCTTTTTTACGATTGGGTTAATGGACTTATAGTATAAATATGATAATTAATAATGTGAAAATGTACATAATCAAATCAATATAATTTTACCTTATTATTCAGTCATTTATGTGTTCCTTTTATCAACTTTATTGCTTACCATTTAAAAACTCTGGTTTATAGTTTATCACTTAATTTTAATCATTTATTACTTTCAAACTTTTCATTCCATCTTTGAAGCCTGTAGAAATTATTTTATGATAGATTTGGTTGCAAAAAGTTAAAATTAGATCACTAATTTTTTTTATGGGTTGGGTGACAATGACACATTGATAGATGTTAATTATTATTTATAATATTAATATTATATTAAAAATAATATTTAATATTATTTCTAATCAAATAAAAATTTATAAGGCCATATACATATAGCAAATGTTTGGAGCAAGTGATTAAATTAAATATAATATAATTTAATGATTGATTAATTAAATATAATTTAATTTAAGGTTGAAATAAACTCAAAAATGGAAGGTTGAATGTGTGTGAGCGCATTTTTAAAACTTTTTGCAAAAAGATAGATATAAGTTAATAAAATCAATTTGTCCAAAGAACGTGAGGGAAGAGGGGTGAAATAAAACAAAAGATGTCTTTATACTAGTTCACTCAATTTGAGTTATGTCTAGTTGCCTTTGAACATAAAGGGTTCCACTATCTTGGAAACTTTTACATGCAAGTATTCTTTACTACACTATTGACTACAACTAGTATTCTTTATGCCACTATTGGCCTTCTCACAATGACATGTTGTAATATTCTTTAGGTATTCTCTTCAGGCTTACAATAACAAAAGTGCAGAATGTTTATTATAGACTCTCACAAAGAGGATATGAAAGTTTGAGTACACTTAAAACTTAAGTTATTCTCTAATTATCCATTGGACAATAAAATATAAGAGTTATATCCTTGGAGAGATTTCAACAAAGTTTTGGCAAAACTTAAAAGTGTTTTACAATATTCACACAACTAATTGTATTTTCTTCTATTTTATCGTATTTATAGGTTTCAGAAAAGTATCCATTGATGAAAGTCTTTACTATAGGACACAAACACTCGTCACAATGTGTTGGATGCTAGAGGCATACACTAACTATACTAGTTACTATGTGTTCTTCATATTGGTTGCATGTTTTTTGAAATGACTTAGTCAATTGTTTGTCACCCAAATTCATTACTTTGTTATCATCAAAACTAGGATACTAGATGTTCATAAACATCTTTAGTTCAAAATGCTAAAATTTCATATGCTTCATACATTGGAAGTTTGATGTACACAATAGTTTGTACAAGACTAGACATTGGCCATGTAGTGGGGGTTGTTAGTAGTTTATGTTAAATCTAGGAAAGAGTCATCAAAACCAGTCAAATGGATTTTGATGTATCTATGAGGGCACCATAAAGAAATGTTTATACTTTCGCAAAGGAGAATTAGAAGTACAAAGGTACATAGATGCACTTTAGAGGAAGAGTTTATCACTAGAGAAGTACCATTAGGTACATATTTACCATTGGAACAAAAATTGTTAGTTGGATGTCACATGTACAGAAGATTGTTACTTTATCCATTATAGAAGTTGAGTATGTAGCAATAACAAAAGCCAGTAAGAATTGATGTGGCTTCAAGGATTGTTAACAAAGTTGTGATTCAACCAAGAATGAAGTGTTTTTACATAGTGATAGTCAAAGTGCAATATATTTGGCAAAGTATTCAACATTTCACTTAAGAACAAAGCACATTGATATTCATTACTACTTCATCAGGTCTCAACTTGAGGATGAAGTGCTAATATTGACAAAGCTTTTAGAAAATAAAAACCTAGAAGACATGTTAACAGAGGTATTGACCATTGACAAACTAAAGTTGTGCTTAACTTTAGTTGACTTGGTAAAATAATAACCTAGGGAAGGTTGTTGCATTGATCGAGATGTGAAGACAGATTGAAATCAATCTTCAAGTAGGAGATTGTTAGTCAACGATTATGGGTTGAAAAAAATGCAACCCTTTGCAAAAAATTAGCAAATCTTCTTATGCATGAGAAAAATTGGCACCACCCCATGCCACAACAAATTACATTTTTCATTTTTCATTTGGTGCATTTATTGCACCTTGGAGCAAATCTTTTCTATAAACAGAGGGGAAGAAGAAGAGAATGAGTAACAAGGCGTGAGAAGCATTTCCTCGTTTAGAAAGTATCCCAAAATTTCTAAGATCCAAGCTAGTGTATTCTATTAACACTGTAGGAGAAATTTTTTGATTTACTTGGGTTGTGGGTTGTTAGTGAGAGTTTGTAAACACCAAGTATATCTCCTTTTTCAATAAAATATCCTCAACAACCCAAAGGCGTAGGCAAAATTAGTCAAACTTTGTTATCAAATTTATGTGTCATTGTTCCACATTTTTGTGAGTTCTCTTATATAGTTAAGAAACCATATGTTTTTATCATGAGACCTAGATGAATCTAATGGTGAATAAAAATGGTACACCATGAACTATATGCAAAGGTGATGCACCTTATTCTTTGTCTTTAAACATGTTAATAAAGTGAAGACAGAATGAAAGTATTTATTGATAAATTGTTATAAATTTTATCACCCTATGCTAAATATTAATGTGATTTCTCCATAAAAATAGGAATAAAAAATATTAATGAAATTTAAAAATTACATGAAAACCTATTTCTCTAATTTTACTCCAATTTCAAAAGAATGACATTGGATTTTAGGGGGAAAGGAAGTGAAAGTAAGCTAAAGACGAGTAAAAGTATAGACAATTCGAATTCATCTTGTCTTCTAAACTTATGGTCACACCTACGCGAATAGCCTATTTTAACTTCTTTTACTAGTGTGAATCAGCTCATTTTCCATTCGTAGGATTACTTTTATACTTTGTAGTGTTGTTGCATGATTTCGATGTCAAGACCTTTCAACTTCACAACCGACTCAACTTGTGTAGCTCTCTCAGCCTGCAAAATTTTATAACATGACATGACATGAGCATTATTGTAGCTATTTGTGAGGGTTAATAATATATTATTTTAACATAATTCTTTTATTATTAGTTAAAATTTACTAAAAACTAGAAATTTAATAAATATAATGTAATATTTACCAAAAAATTATATTTAATAATAAATTTCAACAAATAAAAAAAAGTGTGTCTAAAGAAATAATCAAAGATAGAAGTGTTAAAATAACTTCATCTAATAGATTGATGGGTATAATTCACTCAAATGGATTGAATTGAGTTGCATTTTTTCAATCTTTTAACCTATATAATTTAACTCACAAAACTTGTTTATCTAGTGAGTTAAATGATAGATTGGATTGGATTGACCTATCGAGTTAACCTATTAGGTTGACTTATTTTTTTCTTTATTTTTAATTATTAACATTGACTTTGACTTATTCAACTCACATTTGCTTATTAAGATTTATTTGTATGTGTACCATGTACTTATTGTATTGTTGTTGATAAAATTAATTATGTTTTTATTGTTAACTTATTTTAAAATTTTTGAATAACTTATATATATATTGTTGATAGACTTATTAAGTACATATCTTATTGAATATTTGAATTATTTGATTTATAACTAGTCTTATAACAATTCTTCACTTTTTAATTATATTTTTTTATCAAAATATTTGGAAAAAAAATTAAGACAAAAAAATAAAATGATTTATAAATTTTTTAATAATTCACCAAGCAATCTAATCTAACTGACAACCCATCACAAGTTGGGTTGAGATTTTCAACTCATTGTAAAAATGGGTCTGTAACCTAACTCAATTGATTTTTTAGCTGATTGAGATGAGTTGATCAACCCATTTGACACTTTTGATTAGAGAGTTTTTTTTTTCTTCTAAAATTTCTCTTTTATTAAAGATTAGGCAAGTGTTATAAACAACCCCTCCCCCCTCCTTTTCAATAGATACTCCCTTTTTCTCTATTTTTTTTTCTAAAATATTCTTTAAATATATATTTTTTAATTTATTCTCCTTTTTAAAATAAATTTTATTTTCAATTTCTTTCTAACAATAATCAAGACACTTGTTCACTCATCTTTATTATTTTTTAAACTTTATTTTTTGCACTAGTAACTTGAACATTTAAATCCTAATCTTTTTCACCTCATATTCACTATTGCATAAATCGGATACAGTGTAGTGGATTTTTTTTAAGGCTTTGTTTCCAAAAGTATTAGTCATCTATGTTATGATGAATTATTGAGTAGAAATAATATGTTTTTTTGTTATTAACGATATATAATTGTGCTTTGTAGTTCTTAAGATACTTCTCAAAAGTACATTTTTACTCTTTCAAAGAGTATTTTTTAAAAGTATATTTTGTATCTTCCAGATGATAATATTTGAAACTATATTCATTTCTCTTTCGGAAAGAACTTTCCCAAAATATATTTTCTAGATTGGGGGTGAGTGAAGAGTTTCCTAAATAAAATGATACTTAGGGACAAGTAAAGAAAAAAAAGAAAGAAAAAAAAAGGTAAAGAAGGTATATTATTATGGGATAAAGTTGTATTATTAATGGAAGGAGGAGTATTTAACAAAATCCTAAAAAATAAGGATGCTTTACCTGGTTGCCCCAGCACGTCTTTTGGCCTGTTCAGCAATTTCAGTCTTTCAGAATGCTCATGGTTATTGTTCAAGGGGGGTTTCAGGGGCTTGAGGACCTGAATAGTGCGATGGGCCAGAGCCCATTGGGCTTCCCTTTCTCCCTTACTATAGTCCTTGTATGTGAATGCAATCTACCTCGATACCCACAATGATAATTGAGCCAAAAAGGAACAAAATTTATTTTATCAAATACTTTTTAAAATTATTTTTTGAAAAATAACAGTAGGGGAGGAAGCTGTGAAAGTGCAAGGAACAATATTTCTAAATGAGTAATAAACAAACTTAAAGATGAAATTCAAAATAACTTTAAAATGTTCTATTTTGAAAACAGTTTTAAAAAATTAATGTTCTCAAACAATTCTTTCATTTTTTCTAAAAAAAAAACATCAAAAATAGAAAAATAAAACACCCTAAGTTTTCCATTTCCTTTTTTAATCAAGTTGTCAAACCAAATAAAAAGGAAAGTTATAAGTGTTCATCCTATTTTAGAGTAGATTTGGGATAAAAAAGAAAGTGATAAACATAATAACAAATGAAAAGATATACAGGAAGAAAATGAAAGAGAGTGTGAATCTATTAACATAAGTACTCAACCAAAAATGACATCTAGATTTTTGTCGATATCTTTCATTAAGAATGTGTTCCTGGTAAATTAATGTTGACATGCCACTGTTAATTTGAGAACCTGATAGAGATCAGGTTATTTTTCCAAAAGAAATGCCCAAATAAGAGAGGGAGGTTAACTCAATACTTGTTCTAAACCTTGCTCTGGAGCTAGTTGCCGCATGCACTGCCTGTGAGTCCCATGCGTATTAAAAACTTTAGGATGTCAAGAGGGATATAGGTAATGATGCTGTAGATCCATATTACCCCAGCCCATTCCCATCCAATGCCATTGATTTTTGCAAAGTCCCAATGTGCATACACAGCAATCACAGTGGCCACCTAATTAAGTTGAACACTTTGTGGGTTAAAACTTAAAACCACTTCACTTGCATTGAACTATGAAAGTGAAAATTTGATTAGTAGAAAGAAACTGACCAACTGTGCACAAAGGAAGGCAACACAGAGCATGGTGCCTGGGCGTTCAAAATATGACCAGCCTCTGGACCTAGTCACAAAAATGAGTGCCTGACTAATGATACTCACTTGAAGGTAGAGAGCAGAGTTAAGCTGCTCCTCACTTTCTGCAATTGGGTGGACACCAAAAGTGTTCTGAAAAAGGAAGAGAAGACACACTTCCATGTCATGTCATCATTCTGTAATGAGTTGCGTTCAATCATGCATAGATATGAAACATATATCATACAATATGAATATGATACAGCAATACCATTATTCTTAAAAAAATATATAAAATAAGATACATGTAAGGTACATATCTAAATAGGCATAGAAAGTATAAAACATAATAAGTTTAAAGGTAGCAATTCAACTAACAAGACATTATTTAGAATGTTACTGGATTCAATCTTTTTAAGTAAAATTTTGAATTAAAAAATGTGGTTAAGAAAAAAGATCACACTAAAGATAATCAATCAAGTCACCAAAAAAATCTAATAGATACTTCATATCAATAATATATTAAAAAATATATATAATAATAATAGGTGATCAGAATCAAGTTATTTCGAAAGTTATTTCGTTTAATAACTTTGTAATATGCATTAAATGAAACTATAAAAAATTACTCTTGAAAATAACTTGATCTATCTAAATGACAATTCTATAAATATAAACTAAAAAATTACTTGTTAAATGTTATTAGAAACAAAATAAATGTTATAAACCATTGTCATCATAAATCACTTGGCCAACTACCTTTTCGGAGATCATGCATAAAGAGGAAAGCTTCCAGTTTTGATTCATCAAGGACAATGATTTTATGTTTCTACAGTATACATGTTTCTATGCATCAAGTACAAGTATCCATATCAGATGTATGTACCACGTGAAGTAAGTGAAAGTAAGGATGCATCATAGTTTGTGTTTCATGTAGTTTGAAAGTTGGAGCTGTGTTACTTACAGAGAAGAAATTAGTGTCATGAACGACGTAGAAAAAGACTGCGGTCATGATGGCCATGTATGCTCCAAGAACAACTCCAGTGGCGAAGATTTCCTTAAGCTTCCATGAGTCGGGCAAAGGAGAAGGCTTCACCCTGTCCTTTGAGATGGTCATGATGGTTCCATCGTTCAAGACGGCAATGATGAGAACCATGAAGGGAGAGAAGTCGAACTTCCAGATGAGAGCAACGAGCAAGAACCCAAAAACCACACGAACTGTGATGGAAACGGCATAGATGGTGTAGTTCTTCATCCTCTGGAAGATGGCCCTGCTTGTCAACACTGCACTCACAATCACACTGAGTCCTGGCTCGGTCAAGACAATGTCAGAGGCACTCCTTGCTGCGTCGGTTGCATCATCCACTGCAATGCCAATGTCTGCCTTCTTCAGTGCTGGTGCATCGTTCACACCATCACCGGTCATTCCACAAATGTGCTTCCTATCCTGCAACCTCTTCACAATCTCGTACTTGTGCTCTGCATGTGTACAAAACCTCATCAGTTTTTGTCAGTAAGCCTTCGGCTTTTCTCTCTTTGTCACATCAGTCTTTTAATATAATTTGTACATCATTTTGTGTGTATGTATCATTATTCATTAGAAATCACATTATATATAACTTTTACTAATCATGAGTAGGCTAGGAGTTTTGCTTAGATAAATTTCACCTTAAACACTTTTAGGCGAGAAAAATGTGAAGAAAAAAAGAAATAAACCTCTTTATAATTTAAAATTAACTTACACTTAAGTTAATTTGTAGAAGTTTTTTCTTATTAACTTCTTTAAAATCTTTCTTTTAACTTAATGTATAAGCTAGTTTTATCTTATGAAAAAACTTATTATAATTGTTCTTCTTATTTTATTCTTCTAAAAATGTTTCTAGCTTAAAAATACTATAATATTCATTAGAATATTGAATGACAATATAAAGACCTTTATAATTTACATTATTAATGCATTCTAATTAAATTCTTTAATTATAGTTGTGATATCAATGTTTTAATTGAAAAGTCTACAAACTCATCACTATTCATGATTGTATTTGCTTGCAATTTTGTTAACTGCAAGGCAACAATGGCTGCTACCGTTACCATAATTTAAACCTGGATAACAATGTTTGGCATAAATAGGAGTAATTTCCTTACCAGGGAAGACTCCGGCGAATCCATCAGCATTCTCAATGAGTTCATCAATTGACATTGATGCAATGGCAGCATCTTTGCTTTCACCACCAAGGAGGGAGGATGAAGGGTACATGTTGGTGCCCATTCCAAGCCTGCGACCGGTTTCTTTGCCAATGGCAAGTTGGTCACCAGTGATCATTTTAACATTAACACCAAGGTCAAGAGCACGACGAATAGTCTCAGCACTATCATGCCTTGGAGGGTCAAAGAGGGGTAAGAGACCCAAGAACTCCCACGGTTCTCCTGCACTCTCCTTGGTCTTTTCAGAAACAGTCTGCCAACAAATGTGCACTTTAATTGTTAGAAATTTTCTCATAGCGACAATCCCTTTGATACTCTCTTTTTGACACTCATGAGTTTTCTTGTTTGAAAGATGTTTGGTTTTGAAGAACGAAGTAATATTATGTTGCCCCATTCTTTTGTTGGGCCATTCCAAAATATGACCGTTGAGAGTTTTTAATGCAAACCCAGAGCGGGCCATTTTGGTTTGAGAACGGGCCGTTCTGGATGTGAATTTTACTCATGATTTAAGGGTCCAGAACGGGCCGTTCCGGAGACACCTGATG